GAGCAACTCAACCTCTAGTGCAATCATGCTCCTAGCTTACATCAGTCTAGATATGGACTTATTCTAATGCATCAAGCAAGTCAAACAACGCACATCAATACAGAAAAGAAAACAGACAAGAAAGGAAATCAGATCAACAGCTCCTACCACTAAACCAACTTGACAACAGTCCAGTCATCAATCTTCAACAGCTCTTCAGGGCTATCATCTTCCATAGCAAGTATCAACTTTCTTCTAATACATCAAACATAAGTATCAACTTATTTCCTCTTCTCCAAGCCTCAGATCTTCAGTCAATTCCACCTTCAGGCCTCAACCCTAATATCAAGTATCAACTGGACTTTCAGGGACTCAGTGCATCAACATAAGTATCAACTTATCCTTTATTCTTCAAGCCTCAGCTCTTCACTCAATCTCAATTGAATCCTCTTCATAAGTATCAACTTGGTCTTCAAGCTTCAGCTCTCTCTTCTTTACCAGTATCAACTTGGTTCTCTTCATCTACAAGCTTCAGCTTCTCAGAGTAGTCTTCAATCACAAAGAAGTATCAACTCCATCCTTCAATCTTCTTCAAGCAAGGAACTCCATCCTATAATAAGGTAGAAAGATTCATCTATCAAGAGCAAAGTTGGGATGATTGGTAGCAGAGTGAAGACCAAAGGTCACCACTGAGCATCCTGTCATCAGAGAAAGGGATCCTCAAAGGTTCTACCAATTTGCAAAGAGCCACACATCCTACCAAAGGAGGGATGAGGCCTTTACAAAGGGACCTTTCATCATAGGGAAGAATGGAAGTGATCAACATCATCCATGTTTATGAAGGAAGAGAACTATCTAGAAGCTCTGCCTACAAAACCCTAATCTTAACCTAATCCAAACTACACCACAAGAAGGGAAGATCTTCAAATCCAAGCCTCTTCAAGCAATCCAATGCATCTGCAACTTGTCTTCATCATCATCCAAGAGCAAGAGAAACAAAACCCTAATCTAAGGGAACTAAAGAAGTTAATCTAGTTGAGTTAGTGCCTTAGAATCATCTAAAACTAGCACCTAAACTAAAATCAATCAAAAATAGAAAACTATCTTATAAATTTCTACAAAAATTCCTAAGGGATCCTAATTCAATTAAGAATGCCTCATACAAAAACCAGGGACTAAATCATCTATTAAGTCCTAAAATTAAGTCCTAGATCTAAAGGTATCAACCATAAACCCTAAAAATGGAGCTTCTAAAGGTCTCAACCTAAACTACCACTTATGATCATCACAAAAATGTGAGAAAATTCTATGGGGATCATGCATATCTTTTCTAGCCACACACAAAAAATCAGGATCAAAATCATCATCACATGATCACACAAAATTCCATAAAATCAAGTATCAAACATGACTATTTTAATATCAATTAAAATGTGAAAATTCCCATAAAATCAGAAAATGCATGAAAGAAAAATATTTTTTATCTAACAAATACTAGATTCAATCATGAATCTAATGCAAAAAGAATGGGGTCAATTGGATCAGTTTTCCATTTTTTATGATTTAATCAAAAACCATGAATAAAGTGAAAAATAATATGAAAATCCAAAGAAAATAATAAATGCACGGTGCAGATAGAAATAGAAATCAATTCAATTCATGGATTGGGCCATCAGGGGGGTGCAAGTATCAGTTATATCCTTAAGCCCAAAAACACAACTAAATGAAACGATACGTTTCATTAAAGTTCAGATCCTTCACAAAATGAAACACACGCGTGGTCGTTGGATCTTCCTCTGGTCAAAGGTCTCAGCCCCATCCAAGGGCTCTAAAGTCATCTTCTTCGTTTGAATTTCTGAACCTCGCGCGCAGCCACGGCCACCGCCGGTGGTGCTCCGGTCATCGTCCCCAACCCTAACTCTCTCCACAGGCCTCCATTCCAAGAGGTCTCTACATGAAACTCACTCCAATTTTCACAAGGAATCTTCCTATGCCATTTAATCATGCTAACAGTTCAAGAATCCAAGAATACCAATCTCAACCAAAAATTCCATGAACCCTAATTGGTCACTAATCCCCAAATTGATGATCCAGAAATCTTCCTACACCATCCTATTATGCATCTACCATAGCAATTCATCTTAATTCTACCTAATTTAAGCCATGGCACAAGAGTTACATACCTGGTAAATTTGAACAAACAGAAGGGTTGAATCTTCAACTCAGCCTTCAAGAACTTGCAGAAACCTTCACTGAATCACAATCAATCTTCTGTATGCAAAGAAAAGAGTTGAATCTTCTTGAATTATCAAATCCGATTCTGAGTTGCAAGATTCACTCTCCAATGGCTACTTCACGATTCTTCCACCACAGTGCCTTGAATTTGATCTGGAATTGATCACCAACCTCTGAGCAAGCTATTGAGATCAATTTCTTGGACTGAAATGGCCTCTAACCTTGTAACTGATTTGGATTTGTAATGAGAAAGTTCAAAGTGCAAGCTCAGTTCTCTCTCTCAATCATCACCAAAAAATGATCTGAACCACTTCTATTCCATATATAGAGTGTGTAGGGATGATCTAGAAAACTCTAGATCCTTCCAAGGAGAAATTCAATCTCTCATGACCTGAGAAGTTCACTTATATGCCATGGTGTGCTCCATTCTGCTAACAGCTTGAAATCAATCCCATTCCCTTTCAATTTCTCCCCTAGTGACATTTTGGAAGTGTTTGGCTTGCAAGGGACCTTAATCATGCCTTGCATTTTGGTTTTGCAAATGTTACTTAAGATGTAAGTAACTACTTTTCAAAGCAAGTCCACAAATTGAACCTCAATTCAAAAATGTGGCTAAACCAATGTTCTTAAAATGCTTTTTAGAGTCAAAATGACCTATTACATGCCTTGGTTTGGATGTGTAGATCAAAAGTATCAATTTCCAACTTTGGTTCATTTAACTTATACCCTTATTTTAGGTCATTTTTGCAACTTTGAGCTACAAGCATTTCCAACATCTCATGACCTCTTGAATAGCCTTAAAACATCATTTTGAACAAGTTTGATGTTGAACATTTTCCCATTTGAAGCTTGGAACTGGGAGTTATGGCCTTATGCTTGAAATTACCTATAATCTCCAAATGACCAAAATGCCCTTGACTTGCCAAAGCCATAACTTGAGTTCTACAAATCCTTTCAAGGACTTCTAGTACTCTCTATAAAGCAAAGAGGATAAGGAACAACATTCATGTTGACCAAAAGTTCATAGGAATCATCCTTCTTGGGCAAAAGTTTCATGCAAGTTGGGCAACTTTCAAGCCCCAAATTTACATACCTCAGATGACCTGTAACTTGTCAAAGTCATAACTTGAGTTCTACAACTCCTATCAAGGACTTCTAGCACTCAAATTAAATCTAAGACCATGCTCTACAACATTCATGTTAGGGGTAAGATGAGATGAAAATCCCATCTTGAGCTAAATTGCCCTGAAGATAGGGGTCAAACTAGGGGATTTTACACTGTCAAGCCTTAGAAACCCTAGCCTGAAACTTCTCAAACTCTTCAATCATGATGAGTTAACCTTGGAATCATCCTTATAACATCTCAATGCATCAATCCATGATCACATGGCTCTTGAATTAGGTCTCAACCTCCTCCAAATCATCAGTTGACCTAGGGTTGACCTAGTCAAACCCTAGTTGCACCACTCATGGCTGAGCCTTCTTAATCTTGCACAATGACCTGTCTAGGCCTCAAAGTGACCTTCAACACTTCTCATGAGCTCTCTCAAGACCTCAAGTCCATCCTCATGGCTTCAGAATCATCTGATGACCTCCCACAACTCTCAAGCTAGGAGACACACCCTCTTGGTTTCAACCACTCTCTCTGAGGATCTTTTAACTTCCCTGGCAAGGATATCAACCCTTGAACACTTGAATAACCTTCTTAGCTAGCTTTATAGTCTTGTGTAGCTCTTGATTGGTAATCATACCTCTTGATCTCCTGCATACATGTCAATGGGATGCAAATGATAATGCTAATATGAATGAAATGAAACACAAGCTAGGTAAAGAAATGTTGAGCAAATTTTGGGGTGCATCAGACGCTATTATGAAGTTTTATGTTGAAATGTGGCGCCCTTGTGGTGATGTACTATGATATAATTGTTTTAATTATCGTGAATGTCCTTTAGGGTAGAAGGGTGTTACACGCTAAATGGATATAATCACGGTCGTACGCCTGTGGTTAAAATCATCATACATACAATCACACCTTACGTCAGGTTGGACCTGCGTGATGGTATCCATTTTCTAACAGTTGTGATATGGGTTTTCCGTAGTAGTGAAAGTTCAAGAGTTTCTTTTCTCTTTTTGGTGGATTCTAAAATTTTATCAGACAGGTTTGTCGCTTGCAAACTTGTGTTTCGTTCTAGATTTAGCGCTTGTTAATTCGTAGTGATTCTAACTGCGCCACATTGAAATTGCATTCTAATGCGGTTGCGAAAACTACCATCATCGTTTTGAATTGTAGTCCACATCTATTGCCGCAATATTATTAATGTGAAGCCTTAACAACCACGTGGAACCACAATTCTGGTGTGAATTAAAATCATGCATCTGACGGCCATTACAAATCACATCAAAAATTTCGCTTTTGTTTCTTCAAATATTTTTATCAAAATTAAAAATTTTAGAATCCAAAAATTCAATTTACTTTCTATGTAATGAAAGATTTTAACATCTAATATTTTTTAAAGATATATTTCACACACCTCCCAATTAAAATCTATGCCGCAAAGGCCATAATATACATTGCATTAATTGCAATTGCAACACTCAAAATAAGAACCGCATTCTCAAACGTAACCATAATTTAAAACCATGACTATCACATCAGCAGTTGTGGAGTGCAATTCAAAACAATGGTTATGATATCACCAATTTTTATTTAATCCAAACATAGTACATGACCCTTAAAAAGAAAAAGTTACATTACATCTAGAAAATAATAAATCAAATACATTAGTTCAATTATTTAATTTTAGTCCTTCATTGTAAGGTACATCTGTATCAGGAAGCCAAGTATTCCCCAAAGTAAAATTAAAGACAGTGAAATTCCAAGCTTGATTAGGAGTCAACAAATTATAACCATGCCATTGAACCCTATTGTGAGTAATAGAACCAGGTCCATGATTATCAAACTCACCATAAAAAAGTGTATCCAATCCAACTGTTCCATTCCACTCTAACCATCCAGAAGGTTGAATCAAATCACCAATATATGACTGCAAATAAACAGTCCTTGAATAAACTTTCCATGGTCTTCCCAAGTAATTCTTGGTAGAATTCATATCTTCCGCTAAGTCTGGCGCCGCATCAATCCTACAATTTTGTATTGATATTCCTGTGTTTTGATTTGGATCAGTTCTTCCTTGTGCTGTTACAACATTTTTCTGATTTCGCATTGGTTTTCTTGGGTAGATGTTACAACTTTGAAGTACTGCAGCCGCGTTTCCGAAAATGAAATCAACTGTGCCATAGATATCGCATTCTCTATAGAATTGTCTTAGTGAGTGAACATAGAGTGTGTCTTGGTATCCTTCAAAACTGCATCGGTAGAATATCGAAAGATCTGCGTTGTTTCTCACTGCTACAGCTTGATGCTTTTCAGGTCCTGCTGTGTTTCTGAATGTTATGTCCACTGCTATAAATCTCTCTCCAGACACAGCTGCATTAAAATCAAAACAAACATATTAACATTACCATATATATATATATGTAGCCCTAGCATCTCTCAACAAAGACGACGTATCTGGAGTTCAACATGTGTCAGTGTCTGGTGTATGTGTGAGTACTTACCAAAGGTTGAAGAATTAAAAGTTGTCCAACCATCAACAACACTATGATTTCCTGTGATACAAGTGTTGTTGATACCATCACCAATGAGTAAGATATTCTTCTTACTTTTTGGAACAGTGAGATACTCTTGATATAATCCTTGTTTGGCATAGATAAGAAAATAGCCATCTTCTGGCTTTAGATGATCAGGTGTAGCATCAATAGCTTCTCCAATTGAAGTAAAATTTTCTGTTCCATCAAGACTCACTATAACATATTCTTTGAGTAGAATTCCTTTGTTTTCGCTTTCTTGTAGAATCCTTTCGGTTCTTGTACAGTTGGGTGATTTGTTGCAACTGAATTTTGTTCTAAGAAGCTGCAGCAAAATATAAGAATTATTAGCACTGGGGACTTGTGAGTTGCACGTGCAGGGTTTTTTCATTATCGAACAATAAAGAACATGAATGCACGTGACTTATTATCAAGTTGTTAGATACTGTTGACAATATTTATTTGTTTTGGTCAAAGGATACTAGTGAGAATTTAACCACAAGCTAGGTTGACCAGAACTAAACCAATCCTTGGATCTAGCCGGTTAACACACATTGTTATGTTATCAACTACATTAATTAATGTTTTACCTCTCTTACATTGAACAATTAAACTAATCTAGTATGAGATATATTAATTATTTAATAAATATAAAAAATAAACTATAAATGTTAACCATTTTCCCTATGTAATAATAATTAGGAGGTGATTTTAAAAGAATTTAATTAATATTACTTTAAACTTTGTAAACGATACTTTATCAAAATTTTAGCAAAAAAAATTCTAATTTTGTTTTCACTTCAACTATTAAATATTAGAGAGTATTTTGCTCATCATCTCTCTTACAATTTTAAAAAACTAAACCTATCTTTTTTAACAAAATTAAAAATAAAATAAAAAATATTTTTTATTATTTAAAAAAATGCATTCTTCCAAATTTATTTTTTACAATCTCTCTGCTACACATGTTTATTGTATAAATTTTTTTTATTTTTTATTAATTTAAAATAAATATAAATTTTAGAAAATAAAAAATTAAAGGCCTATTTGAAAAGAACTTATAAGAACTAATTTATAATTAATATCTTATAATTTATTAATTTCTATGACAAAGGCATTTGTTTGATAAATGTCATTTTTTCATAAATTTATCCTTTATTTTTTTTTATTTATAATATTTTTTATAAACTACTTCAAATAAGTTATAATTTATCAATTTTTCTCTCAATATTTTTTATATTAATTTAATTAAAAATTGAATATATTTTTTTATCTTCTTTTATATATAAGTTAACTTGCTCTTAATTTTATCAAACCATAAAAAATTCAAATAATTAACACATAAACGCTATAAGTTATAAGTTCATATACTATAAATTAATGTATTAAGTATCCTTTATTCTTTATTAAAAATTTCATAAAAATATTTTTAAATGAAAAAATACAGTCTAAATACTTACTACAATAATAATGACACGCACACAAAAGCAAAGATTAAAAATGAATATAATTTTTTATAATAATTCATAAAAAAAATAAAAACATATTACCAGATAGATAAATAAATAAATAAATAAATAAAGAAAATGGTTACCTTAATGAGCTTTTGAAGTGGCTGTCTGACCTTAAAAGCCTTAGTAGGAAGACCATGTTTACGAGTCTTACGTTTCTTAATGTTTCTATTTAAAGCCTGCAGAGCCAACCCAAGTGAAACACTATACAATTGCGTAACATTACTCAAAGGAAGAGCAAATGAATTAGCAATGTTACTTTTCGTCACAACCAAACCGTCATAACAAGTATAATGATTTGTAGCCACAGCACTGAGATAAGTTTCAACTTTTTCCACCAACACATCTGTGTTATTGAAAGATGATGAATCAGCTGATTTTAGTTCATCTTGTACTAACTCTAAGTAGTCTACATTAAGTTGGTTTAGTTCGCGACAATCGTCTAGTGCCGCGAACTCGGCGTGGCTTAGAGAAGATGATTGGTGGTGTTTTTTGAGAAAGTCTTTGAATACTTTGGATAGTTTTTTGGCTTGTTTTAGGCTTTGTTTTATTGAGAATTTTCCTAAGTGGTAGGGATCGGTCGGAGAGGAACGGATCGAGGAGAGAATCGAACGACATAGTTTAGGGTATAGTGTTGATTTGCATGCATTGGAGGAAGAACTAGAACTAGAACTAGAAGGAGGAGGAGAAAGAGAAGGTGTTTCATGAGCTTGAAGGAGTAAGGGTAAGAGAAGGAAAAGGGAGAGAAAGGGAATTATGAACAATATTGAAGGGGTTGACATTGTATAAGTAATTAAAATGAGGTTATGGCTTTGAATGGTTTTGATTATGAAGGTGTAATGAGAGGGATTTATATATATAGGAGGAAATTGAGATGAACAAGTTATTAAGAGGAAGCGTAAATGGGAGAGTGGAATTGTTATTAAGAAAAAGAATAAGAGCAAATGGCGATATTTGATGCATTGTAAACGCTGCAAGAACGTGGTTTTGATTCAAGTAATACTAATTATGATTAGAGGGTTTTATCAAAACTGTTTTTCACAATATTAAGTAATAATAGATTTAAAAAAAAGTTCATATACTATAAATTAAGTATTAAGTAAAACTTTTTTTAAGACTTTTTTTTTAGGAAGACATTTATTTTGGGATAAATGATTTGTATACTTTTGCTACAAAAACCTTTACAGTTTTATCTTTTAAAAAATATATTTGGTTAAATTGAGAAATGTGGATAATATACGAATTATCGTTCGATTCAATTCCAATTATTGCAAAATTTTTTGGTATACTGAAATGAAATAGTGTCAAATAACTTTTGTCTTGTGTGGATACTTATCCAATTTTCACTAATCACATCCCGTTACTTTATTCCATTAGTCACAAAAATATGCATGTTTTTGGTAAAGCTTAATGTTTGATATACAAGGGTTTTTTTTTTTTTTGATAAATAAGGGTTTTTTTTTTTGACAGAAGTTAAATTAAATCAAATCAGTAAGAGTATTATCTTTATTTATGTATGTAACCTTAATGTACTTGTAAGGCCCGGAGTAATTGGAACCATCTTATTGTTAGTGTCTATAGTGCAGCAAATGTGTTCCACTATTATAACCCAATGTGGTGTGTCTTAAAAATTTCAGCAGTTTAGGATTCAATTCGGCTTCACCTGCAAGGTGCCCAATCGGTGCCGTGATGCAGGGGCAATAGAAATGGAGGCAACTAGATTCTGTCTCATCAATGAGGCAGGTGATGAGGTGAGGCGCGAGATAAATGTTTTACATTGGAGGTGGACTAGCAATGAACAAAATCAATTTGAAAATAGTTTAAAATTTGATTCGACAATTAAATCGTTGAATTAGGTTCATGAATCAATTGAGCTGAATATGAGCGAAAAAATATGTTCGTTAATTTAATGAGATGAACTTGAACTATACATAGTTTAAATCGTTAGATTTGTGAGTCAACTCGATTATATAGGAGAATAATTATATTATCTTTAAGATTAGGTTTAAAGATTTGCTCCGAATCTTAATTTTATATTGTCCTATGTAATAATTATGTCAGTAAAGCTAAAAATTGCATTTAAAGTCATTGTTGGTGGATACATTATGTCATTTGTTAAAATAATATGGATAACGAAGGTTGCAAATGGTATATCAATTCTCAGTAATTTCTTTTGTGTATTATTTCATTAAATTTGTAAGTTTCTTAAATAAAGGATGAAATTATGAATTTTTGAGACAAATTTAAACTTCAATTCAATGTTATTTGAATTAGACTTTCAAATATGTCTCTTAAAAGTGGTTTTGAAATTAATAGATTTTTGAAACAAAGTTAAATTTCAAACTCATAACTTTTATTTTATTTCAAATATTTTCTTTTATTAAAAAAAATATTAATTTAAAATGTCAAATTTATAAAAATAAAATAGACTTAAAAAATAGTTTTTAAGTCCGTGAAGCAAGTGAGTTGAAGTTAACGAGATGAACCTAACGAGATGAATCGAATTGTTCGTAAATTTGTAACGAGTCGAGTTTGAATTTTTAAAAAAAATTGTATGGAACTCGAACTTATATTTAAGTTGAATCAATTCTTAACAAGTCGAGGCGAGTTAAGGCGAGTTCGACTTGACTCGACTAATTTCCAACTCTAATTGTAATTATTACTAAATTAAAAAATAAAAATGATAATTATTTTAATTATTAAACAAGAGTGATTTTGAAACGAAAAAGAGTACTTAAGATGATTTATGTCATTTTAAATTTTTTTATGAAATTGATTTCAAAGGATAGAAACAGTGAGATAAATATTGAAACTCTTATGAATTTTTAATAAATATTTGAACTCTTATGAATTTTTAATCCTAAGAATGAGAAGACTTTGGAGGCTATCTAAGAAATGAAAAATACTTTCAAACATTTTAGAATTATCTAATTCATAAATTTATGCGGAGAGATTGAATCAAAAATTTTAGAAATTAGATAGTCCTCTTATGAACTAGTTGAGTCTCTTTGAGAGTAAATCATATTTTAATCTAAATAGATAAATACTTTTGTGTTGAGTTTCAACTTTTATCTTATTCTTTTTAGTTTATGTTTTATTTACACTTAGATGTTAGATTGTTATTGTTCGATACTATTTAGTATTGATTGTATTTTTTCCAATCCTTTGTATTTTGTATTGTATTTGAATCACTGACGTTTATAACAAGTAACTCCAATCGTGAGACAAATTGTCAAAGTTTATAGGTGAACACCATATATTCTAAATGGAATATCGAGAAGTTTTCCAAAAACAACAATTTTGGATTTCGGAAAGCGAACATGCAAGCAATTTTACTTTAACAAAAGTGTGCAGACACGTTGTAATGTCAGGCATTAATGTCGGCAAGTATGACACAAATATGGAAGACCGAGATAGTAGATAAAACAAAAAAGGTCATTATCTTGTTTCTCAGTGATAAATTATTAAGAGAATACACAAACTCAACAAAAATTTTCTTACTACTTGGCCACTAAAACATCTTCTTAATATCTTGGTACATCTTGGTAGCACCGGGATGAATACTTAAACCACTCCTATGACCTTCCTCAAGAATACTCTTCTTAAACTATGGCACATTTGGCACACAAAATTTCTCGGGGGACCTCATAATCACATTCTCATCAATTCTGAAATCCAACTATTTACCTTAATTGATCAACACCAACTGATCAATCAATCTCAAGTCGACTTTTTGACATTCTCTGATCTCTTCAAGAATACCACTAGTCAGCTTCAACATATTGTACTTCATACTGTTAAGAGTCATCTCGCACACCAAACTAAGCTCTCGAAACTGTTCAAACAAATCCAATTCTTGAACCATCAATGCCGACACATGTAAGGACTTCCTACTCAAAACATTTGTTACAATATTGGCTTTACCAGGATGGTAGCTCAAACCAATATCATAATCCTTCAAAAACTCAAGACATCTCCTCTGCCTCATATTCAGTTCATTCTTATCGAACAAACACTTAAAAATCTTATGATCGTCGAACACTTCAAATCTAGAGTAAAATTGATAATGTCTCTAAACTTTAAGAACAAATACCACAGTTGCCAACTCTAAACCATTGGTAGGATGATTCCTCTCGTGAGCCTTTAGTTGTCTCGAAGCATAAGCCATAACCTGATTGTTATTCATAAGCACGCCATGTAAACTCATGTTTGAAGCATCACAATACCCCACAAAAGGTTCACTTGGACTCGAAAAAATCAAAATTGGTGCTGACGTTGGTTTCCTCTTGAGCTCTTGAACATCCCAAACATAAGTTTTACCTTTACAAGTCAACTAAGTCAAATGAAAAGTTAACTTCAAAAATCCTTCTATAAACCTTATATAGTAACCATCCAAACCCAGAAAACTTTTGATTTATGTAACTGACTTCAAAGTCTCTCACTGCAACTTGGCGTCAACCTTCAACGGATCAATTGATATACCACCACTAGAAATCATATGACCAAGAAAACTCACTTCACATAACCAAAACTCAGAATTGGACAACTTCACATATAGCTTCTTCTCTTGCAAGGTCTGTAGCACAACCCTCAGATTTATAAGGGCTCTTTATCTGTCTAGGAGTACACCGAAATATTGTCAATAAACACAACCAGAAACTAATCCAATTAAGGATGGAAGATCCTATTCTGTTGGCAACAAAGAATCTAGTTCTCGTCTAGAGTTCACCTTCAAAGTCCAATTCTGTTGGAAACAAATAATAAAACCATAAAAAAAATCCAATTACCCAGTTGAATTCCCATATTGCATACAACATACATGCATAGCATTCCTGCTAAAATGGGGAGTTTCATCAGATAAAATCATTTGCATTCCTACATGCATCAAAATCCCCAACAGTTGCATCCCCGTGTGCATACCTATGCATTATTCCATGTATGGCATATCCGCTCAATGCAAAACATCATACCAAACATAGCATAATAGGATATGGGATCAATCAACATGCATCTCGGTCAGTCCTCCTTCAAGTTCCGCAGTATTCCTCTAAAAAGAGCTAATAACCTGCATGTGTTCCGTGGAATTTTATTCCCCAGCAAGTCATTATTCAACTTTATGGTTTATAATGATGTGCCCCAACATCTTTGTTGTTGTTGCTCCCCATGAAGAGGTTATCCTAAAAAGTCTTTTATGAGTTTTTCCCCTTAAGAAGTTGGCTTCTAAATCTCCTCCAAAAGGAGTCCTTTTTGAATTGTTTTCCTTTACGGATAAGCACTTAAGATACTGCTCTAAGTATCATCGAAGAGTCTTAATTTATAAGATACTGCTTCGTTGATCCAGAGAATCTCATTTTTTGTTTGAGATACTACTTCGTTGATCCGAAGAATCTCATTTGTTGCTTGAGATACTACTCTGGGTATCCTCGAAGAGTCTTAATTTATAAGATATTGCTTCGTTGATTTAGAGAATCTCATTAGTTATTTGAGATACTGATCTAGGTATCCTCAAAGAATCTTAATTTATAAGATACTACTTCGTTGATCTATAGAATCACATTTTTTGTTTGAGATAATGCTCTAGTATCCTCAAAGAATCTTAGATGTGATTGAGGTATCGTTCCCTTGTTAGAATATCTCGACTTATAAGATATTTCTTTGTTAATCCAGAGAATATCATTTGTTGCTTAAGATATTGATCTAAGTATCCTCGAAGAGTCTTAATTTATAAGATACTGCTTCGTTGATTTGGAAAATCTCATTTGTTGCTTGAGATACTGCTATA